GGGTGTTGTCTTGTACTTCTCGTCCAGGTATAAAACCTGTCTGGTCTGGGTGGACTAGTTTCAGTAGAGACTGCTGAATTTTAGTTGCTAATATTTTAGATAAAAGATTTATATAAACATTAAGAAGGGAGATCGGTCTATAGCTCCCACATACATCCCGGTCTTTACTTGGTTTAGGTATAACGGTTATTATTGCTGCGAGTGATTCAAGGTGGAACAATTCCTCAGTTATCAATGCATTAAAATCTTTTGTCAGCTTAGGAATCAGTAAGTGTCCAGATTTTTTATAGTAGCTTACTGAGAATCCGTCCGGACCAGGTGCTTTACCTAATTTTGCAATTTTTTTTTTTTTTTTTAAATTCTTTATTTTCAATGACAGAAATTTCAGACATGTGAACAGTACTTGGACTTATGCAAAAGCCAAAATTCGTGTTTTACAGTAGTTTCACAGTGATACAGAAAAAAGAGATTGAATTGTTAGATGGTAATGCAACTGTTCAGAGTTCTTCCTTGCGGTCTTGTTCTGTCAGGGATTTTACATTTATATAGAAAACTAAACAGATTTAAGTGTTAACCTTAAACAACATAAAAATAGGATGTGTTGCCAACACTTTCATGTGTGGCGTATTTTTTTATTTTATTATAAATTCTTTTTATTTCATAGAAAAAGGAAGTCCATATGTGTGCCAATGACTGGGCCTGCGCAGAAGCCTCGAGAAAAGTGCATATATGGGTAATAGCTGGCTGACTTGCGCTGAAGCCACCAGGGGAGTGCATACATGTGTGTCAATGCTTAGGCTTGCAGAGAAGTCGGGACAACAGTGCATATTCATGCCAGTACAGTGGCTTACGCAGAAGCCTTATTGCATTTTCAATTGGTTCAGTTGCACCTTGGTGAGGGTGAGCAAGTCAAGGCAAGAGTCACGGCTATGGTCGCCGCTAATCTCGTCAGTGGTTAGTTTGTCATCTTTTGGTGTGCTGAGATAACTCTGCGTGGTTTGTCCGTGAGGTCATGCCTTGAGTACACATGTCACTCCAATTAGCGTGATTTTGTACAGATGTTAACTAAACATATCATAACAGGTAATCTAAAATCTAGTATTAACTAGAAACATTGTATTTAATTATACGGTGAGTTGGTGCCGCTGTCTCCACGGCTCGGACGAGGGGCGCCGTGTGTCCCTTTGTCGTTGGCCCTATGTGTGTGTTCGGTCTCCCTGTCCGCCCTCCGTGTTTTCCTGATATTGTTCCCATAGATCCCATATTTTGCTAAATTTTTTGGTGGTGTGCCTGACCAGGGAAGTTAATCTGTCCATTAGATAATTATCTTTTATCTTTGCTACTACCAGTGCTACCGGGGGCATTTCCGGACATAGCCATTTCTGTGCCAGTGCTCTACGGGCTGCTAAGTATATCATATTTAACAGTTGTTGTTCTGGGCGTGGGAGGCCATCTGTTGGCCTTGATAGGAGGCAGGTCCAGGGGCCTAGTTTCAGTGGTCTCTGCAATATGTTCATGCTTAGTTTGATAATTTGCACCCAGTAGGTCTGTACCAAGGGGCACTTCCACCACATATGTACATAGGTGCCTTGTTCCCCGCAGCCGCACCAGCACAGGTCTGTGGGGGTGATCCGCATGCGGAATTGTTTCAATGGTGTGGTGTACCATCTAAAAAGTTTTTTAAATGACTGCTCCTGAAGAGTGACACATATTGATGATCGGGCCTTGGCCTCCCAAATGTCCTGCCAGTCGGAGCCCTCTAATGTCTCCCCCAGGTCTGTCTCCCACTGGTCTGTGTATCGCAGCTCCCCCCATTCCTTGGCCTCCCCGGTAAGGTGGGAGTATAGTAGTGATATTAGTCCACTGGGATGCTTTTCCTGGTAGCATATGTTTTCGAACCAGGTGAGTGGGAGAGAGGCCGTCTCCTTGACTTCTTTTGAGTTAGCAAAGTCACGTAGTTGGAGGTAGCGGAAGAAGTCTTTGGTGGTAAGGGGGGATTGTTCCCTGAGTTGGTCGTATGTGACTACGTGGCCATTGTTATATAGATGGCAATATCTCTGGATGCCTGCTCTCTCGAGTCCGCTAAAGTCGCCCGCTGTCATACCTGGTGGGAAGGATCGGTTCCTGAGTACCGGAGACATTGGCGAGGGGAACCTGCTTAGGGAGTATTTAGTCGCTGTTAGATCCCAGATTGTTAGGGAGTTCGTTATTTCTGGGCAGGTCACTCTGGGGATTGCTCTATGTGTCCTGTGTAGCCAGGGGTAGAATTGCGGTAGATCTTGCCCCATTAGTGAGGTTTCAAGTTCTACCCATCGACGCGTGTCCGGCGTGGAGTCTAATTTTGCATTTTTAATCACTATTTGAACTTCTTCTTCAGTAACTGGGGCATCAAGTGACTCTGCCACCTCTTTGGTGACTGAATTGAGAAAATGTTCCTCTAAGAATCGTTCATTTTCATCGCTCATTAAGGCAGATCCCTTATCTGACCGAGGGTTGTTATTGTCATGTATTCATCCGCTTATAGAAATGTGGTTAATTACATTTACTGTCCACACAGGAATAGTTGTGCCGAGCAGCAACCTAATCCACAGAAGGGTTAATGCTGAGCAGCAATTATGCAAATGAAACCTGGTAACTGACTTTGGGGTCAAAGGCCGGTTACAGCCTATCAGAACTGAAGGAGGGGTATTTAGGCCCAGTTCTCAGCCTGCTCAGTGCCCTGTCGTGGTTTCCCTTGTGGTTGTCCGAGAGCGCGTTCCTGTTTATAGTTTTCTACCTGGTTTTTGACTTTGGCTTTGTTTATTGACTTCTCTATATTCTGGTATCCTGACTCCTGGCTTTCCTCATCGCTGTGTCCCTTTCTGTGTTCCCTGACCTCGCTAGTATTTTTGACTATTCTTTGTACGTTAAATCCGGCCATTCTAAGGACCGGTAATACGTTACTTATTTGTCATCCGTGCTGTACAGTTCTACGTGCTGGATCAAACAGTAATCCTGACAGTTATAAAGTTTTGAATAAAACTGTTTGAATAAATTCGCGATTTCTTCTGGAGATTGGGAAATATTTCCCAAATCAGTCTTTATTCTATGGACTTGGGCTTGAGTTTGTTGTCATTGTAGCATCTTTGCTAATATTCCCCCCCCCGCCTTATTTGCATGCATATAGAAAAATCATTTTGAAGCGTTGCACGTTCCTAAAATATTTGTTATTTAAAAGCTCAGCTAATATCCCCGTATTCTCCAAGAGTTCTCTATAAATTGCTTCCACCTGGGCCCGTTTATGCTGAATTTCCAATTGAGATATGACATCTACTAGTTCATTAATTTGTTTTTGATTCTCCATCTTTATATGTGTAGCCAGCTGTATTAATTGGCCTCTTAGTGTGTGCTTCCCAGATTGTCATATTCAACATTCCTTCTGTGCAATTCTGGTCAAAATATTCCTGCAGAGATTTTGATACTTGTTTTACAACTTTCAGGTTGAACCATAGTGTTATTCAGTTTCCAGGTCCAGTTTACTGGGCGGTATAAAGGTAAATCCATTATTATTCGTACTAGGCAGTGATCTGACCAAGTCGAGGTATGTACTTCTATTTTCCATTGCTGCATGAGTCCTTCTTGTTGGATGAAAAAATAATCTATTCTAGCGTATCGGCGGTGTACTGTTGAGTAATAAGTGTACTCTTTCTACTCTGGATGTTTAACACTCAAACAATCTGTCAATCTCGGATCTCGAAGAGCTCTACAAATACTTTGGATTGTTAACTGAGATATGCTACTATGTCCTGTATCCAATAATCCAATATAGGATCCATAGGTGCATTAAATCGCCCAACAGTATTGAAGTTCCCTTGGTAACAGATGATAGTTTCCTAAGCGTTTTTCATATGAATTTTGCTTGGTTTCGATTCGGAGCATATATGGAAGCGAATGTGTATCTCCAATTAGCGATTTTGCCTTTCACAAAAAGATATATACCCCGTGGGTCCACTTCCTTATCTATCTTTAAGAATTACAGATGAGCCTCAAATTAAATTGTAATGTTGGCCATGCCTGTGGGGTAATATTTATTCCTTAGTATCGGCGCTGGTCCACTCAAAAAATGAGTCTCCTGTAGAAAAGCAAATGAGATATTTTTTTGTTGAAGTTCCCTATGGAGGTATGATCTACATTGTGGAATATTAAGTCTCCTCCAGTTTTGCGAGAGACCTACTAGAGGTGCAGAGTGAAATGCCATGTTAGCAGAATCTTCCCTTAACTTATAAAAGCTTCTTGTGAACAGTTTAGTTAACACTTTATCAAAGTTTTCTTTTCTTTTTTCCCTTCCTTCTCCTTCTCTCCTCTCTCCTTTTCCTTCCCTTTTCTCTTTTTTTAACATGCGTTTATTTATGATCACATGTGTGTCCAGATACAACAATCATAACATACAACACAAATAAAAAATAAATAATAAAATAAAAATAAGAATAAATTAAAAAATTACACCCACTTTTCTGTACAAATTTAGAATTTTACTGTCATTGTGAGAAATGCAGAGCATACAACTAAACAGTACGATAGCATGTAAAAAGGTCAATCAAATGAATTCATTGCTTGATCAAAGCTTGAAACAACTTCAATCAACAATCATTACATTATTTATTTTTCTTGACAAGATCACAATTATTTCAATAACCATTGGCTAGCTGTGATAAGAGACATAGTGTTCCTATTAGAGAAACCCCTACCTAGTGATTTAAGTAAATGTTAGTAAAGCCTTGAGGATAAGCTTGCATATCATCAGGAGAATATAATCATTGTCTAATGCACAAGTTTCAAATCAAAGTTTATCCAAATTAGTTTAAATTTGGAAATTCAGAGCATCCGAATTTCCCAATCAAATCAAAACTAATCATTTTAGATCCACTCGTTTTGATATGGATAGCAAATTTGGAATTATTTACTGAACAATTTAAGGAGCAAAATTAATAAAAGGTATTTTTAAAATTTTGCTCTTTTAGTAGTTTCAATATCATTGTGAAGCAGAATTATTCAGGCATTGGATTGTTCACCCACTAATATGCATGTGAGCTTGGTATAGTCTGTCATGAGATCGGTGAGTTTCACCCTATTGAATGAATGTGTTGTCACTACAGTAATCCTGCTCAGTACAAGATGAACTACAGGTTTAGACATTCGGTGTGCTTGTCTGAGGAGCCAATGGGGTGAAGCTACCATCTGTATATTTTGACTGAATGCCTCAACGATAGATTCCCCCCTAAAAGTGCAGAGGAGACTCAGTGGGCCAATGATAGCCAGCCCCCTCTCAGAGGCTGGTGGGCAGACCTCTCACTTAGAGAATGCAATGCAGATTAATCAAGGGCCTGACATCTCTCTCCAGGCACACCGCATATTTTAGGGGAACCTGGTGCTACATGGTTTCTAAATTAACATTTTGTGTATAACAGAGCAGCTAGTTCACTGCAATCTATTGAAAGTCATCCTGTGAGCCTAGATATTTTTTCAGCACTCTGTCTGTTGACTGAGCTCCATCTGCTCCATCAGTGCCAGCTCTCTCCACTGGGGATGGAGATTAAAGTGGCAAGATGGGAGGTAGCACCATCTGGGAGGAAGCACTTCCCTAACAGCAGGTTAGCTACTCTTTTACCCTTCACTTTTCCACCCAGGTGACCAGAGATTCAATGTTTTCCCTTGCTCTTCTAGTGCCCGTGTTTTGAGCCCCAGCCCAGGCAAGAGCAAACGTAAGCCCAGTCGAGGGCTGTAAGACTCATCAGAGAGGGGACTTAAGCCACAATCCCAGCAGAGAGTAGGCTTAAGCCTCTTTTAAAACCCTATGTGGGCTTAACTCAGCCACCTGAACTGCCGTAACATCTTGACCTGGAAGATTATGGTGGGTGCCACACTACCCCTCAGGAACATGTCCTGGCCTCAACATGCCCCCTAAGAGCCATGTTAGAGCCAGAGAGAGTGAAGCTTAAGCCTAGATAGAAATCTCCCTTTCCCATCTCTTTCCTTCACCTTGGCTGTATTTGTGAATACAAACCATGTCTTCCTACAGAGGAAAGGGGTTTGCACTGCCTGCTGCGGTAGCTTGATGACATCCTCAGTGTTCTGTCAGCACAGAGGAAAAAATGCTTTTCTCCCTCACTGCCTGCTGCTGTGGCTTGATGACATCCTCAGTGTTCCACCAGTCTCTGTGATGTCACTGTGCAGGCCTGTTTCACAGCCAGCAGAGAATTGAGGACCCAGCCAATCCAGTCTAGACTTTGACCGGGCAAGGAAGCAAGAGGGCAGAGCTTGGCACCATGGAGGGATTTAGTGTTTTTGTTGAAGATTCAGCAACGGTGGAAGCAAGGAAAAGAGAGGCAATGGGTTTTAAAGCTATGGCCAGTATACACAAGGTAGGAAGAAGAAAATGAAATGCCTTTTCATGTTGCAGAGATGTTTTTCACATGTCAGTTCACTGTTTAGGCTTAATAAGCAAAATACCACATTTTTAAACCCATAAGAACAAGCTAAATTACCCCACAAAGCTAACATTGAAGCTAGTCCCCTGCTAGCAGATTCCATAATTTGGCCTCCGGGAGTATGACTGGAACTAGGGGAACCCAGGCAAGGTACCCCTTGAGTGTCTTCCACCAATCCCAGGCCAAGTTGTTCCTATTATGAGTTGAAAATTGCCCCAATTCCCATCTTTTTCAAGACAAGTTGTCTCTGCTGCAAGCTGAAACTCACAAACAGGCCCTAGCTTTCAGGGCAAGTTATAAAGATCATGTTCTCCCTATTGTGAACTGAAAATCACACAAAATACCAAATTTCCACTCCAGCTACCCTCCTCAGGAATGAACTGAGACTTCCCTCGTCAGGAATGGTTTCCCAATCTGTGCATGTGAGATGCACCTTCCAATGGGACTATGTCTGGGGACTTGAAACTTCAGGGTATTTCACTTGTGTTCTGGACAGAGGATCAGTAGTTTTTAAACTAGAGACTACAGGGGTACCACAATAATTCAATTTAGACTCAAAGGCCTTTTCTTTTCCAGCTTCCAAATCAGATTCACTTATTTTGATGATAGAACATTTGAGCATTTGTTTCAGTCATTACATCAAACATTACATCTGTGATCACACAAGCCCAGTTGTGAATGTCCTTTGTAAACACGTAACTTATTTTTTTCATGCCAGAAAACCGAGTTTGTGTAACAGAAGTACTTATCATCCTTCTGCCTCTCTTTAAGTGCAGATGTTGTTGACAAGTTATAAGATTCCAACATGACCACCATTGCCCCAACATTGACAAAAAGGAAAATTGACAATTATCACTTTCGAAAAGACTGTCATTAACCCTGCCAATAAATAATGTGACCTAGTGGTCATTTGACAAAGAGATAGTTTTGTCAATTATTTTTTTTAAGTGTTCTTGCATAGCAAGACCACTTAATGTTATCTCACATATACATTATTATTCTTATTATAGCCAAATTTACCACCCTAACTCCTCCCACAGTTTTTACACTACATAGACAGTAATATACCGAAACGTGCGGATTGTTCCCAATTGGTGTGCTATTACTTTGTGGAACGTTTCGCTGAATGGATCACGGATTATCGTCTTTCTTGTGGCGAAATTGGTCCCATAGGAATCAATGGCAAAATGTTCAAAACTAGAGTGGGAGCTGGCAAAAGCTGAAAAATCAGGGCATGATTTCTAAACTGCCACCACTCCCTAATTTTCAAGCCCACCTACACAAATCTTATATCAAAACGTTCAGCTATCCCTGCTGCCACTAGACATGTCCACAGCTAAGCCATAGTCCTGATAGTTTTCACAATATGACCATTTGTTTGCAACTAATGCCATCCATTGACATTCATTGAAACTCTACTCTAGCCAGCTCAAATTTGAAGGGCAATTTCTAAACTGCAACTGTGCCTTCAATTTTACTATTTCAGAGACATACTCTGCATCAACGTAGGTCTGGGTCTTGTGATTCTCACAATATTAAGCTCTTTGCTGTAGGATTTATAGTTTTTAAAATACGACCATTTGAAGATGGCAACCACCAAAATACTTTGACCTGTGCCAGGCTGGAGCAGCAAGTGATGTCATAGATGGGGCCTTTTGTACACCTGCTAATGTTTTTATAAATGTATGTTTTAATGTAACTGTGAAGCACTTTGGGCAACAACGTTGCAATTAAATGTGCTATATAAATAAAGAACAGTTACTCCGCCCACTCCAGTTGTAGACTACTGGTGGAGGCAAGAACACTTCACACAATTTCCCCAGAAATTGTAGCTTTTCTAGATTTTTATATATATGGGATAGGAGCAGTCTCTTCCATTTTAAAATGTTCACATCTCTATTATGATCAAATTGATGCCACTACTCAAGGTTAAAATAAATCTGACATTAAAGCTGTTTAAAGATGTGAACAAAGTTATGGAGTTGTCGTCTACTAGATCTTGTCAGAAAAAAAGAAACGGTCCGAGACATAGTTTGTTTAATGAGAATATTCTTAAATCTAATAGGAATCAGAAGGATCTTGATATTTTTATTATTTGTGCTTTTGGTGGGTACAGTAAATATTGAGTATCCTGACTAATATCTTGAGGATATCCTATGAGAATGTGATGAAAGATTGGTTAAAGCAGACATTGTTATATAGTTACATAGGCTGATGAGACGTGCGTCCATCAAGCTCAACCTTCCTCACATCTGTTTTTGCTGTTCATCCAAAAGAATGCAAGAAACCCAATTTGCTGCACTTTCCAACTGCAAACTAGGAAAAATTTCATTTTTGACCTCAGAATAGCAGTCAAATTTATCATTGGATCAATAAGCTATTACCCCACAAATTAAATATGATATCCTTGAATATTATGCTTTTGCAAGTATTCATCCAGTTACTATTTAAACATCTGTACAGACTTTGATAAAACAACCTCTTCAGTGGAATAATTCAACATCCTTATTGTTCTAAATCTCCTTTCTTCCAATCTAATCGTGTGACCTCATGTCCTATATATGGTGCTGTTTATTAATATATTTCCAGACAATGGCCCTGGATATACTTGTATAATGCTATCCCATCTGAGGTGCTACTTTTCTAAACTAAACAGATTAAAATTTGTTAACCTTTCTTCATAACTAAAATGCTCCATTCCTTTGATTAATTTTGTAGCCCACCTCTGCACGTTTTCTAGTGCCATAATATCCTTCTTTAGAACAGAAGAAAAAATCTATACTTTTATATATTTTAAATATATAATATATTAATGCAGATTTATTTTTACTGCTTCTTCTATTTTCCCCTCTATTGGTTATTTCTCACTTGATCTGTGAATAAAAACAACATTTAGTGTCTGTCCCCTTACCCTAAATCATCTCTTTCCCACCAATTATCTTTGTGTTTGGCACCTTGGGTCGAGCTCGGAATCAGATAAGAAACTACACTGTTCATCCTTTGCCTGTTTAATTTGTTTTGTCATTTCCCCGTATGGTGTTTCAAACTTACAGAATTTGTAAGAGTGCTCTAAATTCAAACGAATTGCAATTTGTTTAAAACCAAATGCACACCTCTTAAAATGTCACAAATTAGATTACAAATTACTAACAGTGTTCTACAATTGAGATGGGTTTTGGGAATGGACGGGGTTAGAATTCTGGATCTTTACTCTGGATACCCCGATATATTGTTTATTTTCCATTGATGAAATCTAGAGATGTCGCGAACCGTCCGCGAACATCTCGCGAACGGTTCGACACGGTTCGCCAAGAGCTGTTCGCGGCATACTCCGGTCAGCTGACACGTCCCGGCCAATCTCCAGCAGACCCTCCCTCCCAGACCCTCCTACTTCCTGGACAGCATCCATGTTGAAACGAGCTGTTCGCGGCGAACTCCGGTCAGCTGACACGTCCCGGCCAATCTCCAGCAGACCCTCCCTCCCAGACCCTCCTACTTCCTGGACAGCATCCATGTTGAAACATGGATGCTGTCCAGGAAGTAGGAGGGTCTGGGAGGGAGGGTCTGCTGGAGATTGGCCGGGACATGTCAGCTGACCGGAGTTCGCCGCGAACAGCTCGTGGCGAACCGTGGTGAACCGTTCGCGAGATGTTCGCGGACGGTTCACGACATCTCTAATGAAATCCAGTTTCCTGTTACAGAACCAAATGTGTTTTGTTAACAGAATCAGTCGCTCTTTCTTTACCAGTCTTTGGAGACGGTGCATTAGGAAGTAGGATACCATGGGAGATAGCTATTTTTGGCCATAAAGGCACATTTGTGATTTGTAGTTAGTATGAATTACATACAAATAATTGATACTATTTTATGCACTATGATTTGTAGTATTGTACTAGAATTTCAGTTCTCTTTTTTTTAAATGTTTTTTTAATTTTTTTTTATTTATACTCCTTTGGATACATATCGTAAATGTTTTTAGCTTTGTCCTATGGATTTATGGGAACATAACACCATCTCCTTATGTGCTAACTATAGTGCACTGGTTCTATGCATGACTAAGGTTATGGCCAAAATGTCATATTTGTGGTGACCCAGCACTTGCCTCAATAAATATAAAACTTTAATAGCAGTTTTGTCTGAGTTTCCAGTTAATTTTTGGTAGTAGTACATGAGTGCTACAATTAATCTTAGGAAAAAAGGGAACCCTCCGTTTCACGTTTAAGGTGCTAGGTTTGATTCACTTTGATTTTGTCTATATATTTCTATAGGTTGACTTAACAAGAACCTGCAATTTAAATATGTATTTTGTGCCACATCAAATACTAAAATCTAAATAGCTAAACAACTGAAATCGAATGAGAAACATAAACATGCATACACATCTGCATGTATATTGATTTCTCTCTTTCAAAATGAGTGATTAATAATATTTTTCAATAGGTATTCTCATTTGACTGCAGTGCAACTAATTCAACCCAAAAATGGACCAGATTTTATATTGACTTTGCCAAATCAAGATGGATGAATGGAGATCACTGACCATAGCATATTTGCATATTTATAGCAAGGATTATAGTTTTACAGTAAGATGGAATGGCTATCTTTCAGAGGGCATAGCCATCATCTGTTCTGAATGATGTTTATTCTTACTAAATGTGATCCTTTTTTTTTACCTACAACATTATGTCAAAACATACCTAAAAACAACATAATTCAAATATATTATAGTGCATCAATTCTCTGCATACATGTGCCAGTGCAGATATGAGACAGCATTATTAAAATCAAGTATGATTACAGATTATGGCATTTCAGTGACTCATTTAAACATAATGAATAAAATAAAAATGTCACAAAATGGAAATATATCAAGTCCCACAAGATGAAATTCTCTGCATGATTTGATCACGTCCAAGAAAAGCCGTATCCCAGATGGGCCTGCAGTTATTGCTGTTTTAGCGTTTTCAAAACACATGTAATAACAATGTGTTAAACATTTAAGATCAAACAGTGCAAAAAAAGTATAAAGAACACAAATTATCATTGCCTTTAGGAAAACCATAATTTGCAGGCTTTTTTTAAGATACAGATTTTTGTGCAAATATTAAACACTTGCTTAGTCTAAGAAAAAAATATGGATGAAATAAAAGATAATAAAAACATACTTTAAATGTATGAAATAGTTGGGTATCAGTATTAGTGTTTTCAAAGCACATGTAATAACAATGTGTTAAACATTAAGATCAAACAGTGCAAGAAAAGTATAAAGAACATGAACACAAATTTTATGTCAAGACATGGAGGCTCATATTGCTTATCCCTTTCTTTACTGTCCACCAATAGCAGCAAAGAATACAAACAGTAAGAAAAAAGGGTCATCATAGTGATAGGCCACTCCCATACCGAGTCCCAATATAATAGTCAGCACCTCCCCACATATTTGCTCTTTCTTTGCTGCTCCACACAAAGATAAGTACATGATGCATTTTCTCTTAGCTATATTTTCTTAATTATTATTGATTATTATTAGTGTTATTATTTATTATTTGTATTCTTCTTATTATTGAAGATATTATTATTGTTTATTTTTCTTATAAGTATAATGGATTTTTCTACTGCTTCTACTTATATTGTTGTTTTATATTATGCCTATATTTATTACCTTTGAGCCCAGGGTTCCAGACCTTCTTTGGGGGATTTTTTTTTGTACCCCTCTCCCTTGAGCTTTCCTTTGTTGCTCTTATCTTTTGTCCGTTTTCTTATCTTCTTATCTCTGCCTTTTCGCTCTCTTCACCTTCTCCCTGTCTGTTTGGCGCCTTTTTGAGCCTGTTTCTCCATATCTGTTCCGCTGTGTTTGTGTATGAATCAAGCCTTTTCGGCTAAATTCATCACAAACCCATGCCGTTCGTTAGTTTTACCAGCATATAGCATCATTCGTCTGTTTGCCGCGTTCAACTATTTTTTTTACACAAACAGTTTGTTCTGTCATCTGTTTCCTATTCTTTCCGTCCGTTTGTTTGTTCCCACAAATTCGACCCTTTTTTACCGAACGTTCGGTTCATGAATTAGACGAATTCACAGGATTTTTTGCCACGAAACTGCCGGTGGCCATTTTCTGACATCCTGTCCTTCTGGCTCTGTGCTCTAACCTCGTGTCTTTTCCTGTCTTCCGGTTTGGGCCCTGGTGAGCTCCCCTATCTCTACCCTCTCTGGTTAATAATGGGGTAATTAACTTCTACTAACCTGTACTGTTTGTTTCTTTATTTAGTCTATCTGTTAACAGTAAAACTTGTATTTTTTTTAAAGGACTCTCACAGCGTTACTATGCCCTAATCTAAGGTGCCTGCCTACCCCCTTTCCCCTGGTGAGATGGACATGCCCCAGGTTTTGGGTAACCCCTCTTCCAGCTCTAATTCCCCTTTGTCTGCAGTGGACCCTATGTTTCTGCTCGATGAGGCCCAGTGCCTGGCGCTACAGCTTTCGGTCACTGATGCCATTATGGCTGCTATGGGCTCTATGTCCTCTGCCCTTACTCACGCACCCATTGGCCACAGAAAGTTTAGTGTCCTGGCCCAGGCCTTTCAGGGGATGCACCTAAAAAGGCCACCGCCAAATCCAGGCACTTAAGTCCCCCTGCCTCCAGAACCCATATGACGGGTGCACCCATGACCACCCATGATAGTGTGCCCATGTCACACAAAAGAGCCTTTCCATGCAAGGCAGAACAGGCACGGTAGTGAAAATGTGCTAGAGCACAACAGGAGGGTGACTCCAACTCAGAAATTAGGTCTAGTGAGGAGGCTGATGCTGAGACCATGTGTGACTCTGACAATGAGTTATGCAAGCAGGATACTGACCCTTTAGTCACTGCTCAATTGGGGGTGTCCATGAGTGGCTCTCGGAGCGACTCCCCCGCTACTGCGAGCTCCACCCTCATGTGTCCATTTGGGGAACTCATGTTTGACCCGGATGCACTCCATCAATTGAGGTTGGCTGAATTGCTCCCAGCGGACTATGTGGCACGATACCTGGAAAATTGGGTACGGTGTGTAACAGATCACTTGGGTACCTCCATTAACGGATGCTTCCTAGCTGATGCCGAAGACTATAAGTACCGTATCGGACACCACAACCACCATAGACTCCACAACCACCGTAGCTTAACTGGAATCTCGCCGTCTTCCTTCCACCCTGGATCAACCTCTGACCTCCAGGACAGTGTGGGAGGGACCTCTCCTCCAGGAGAGCGTAACAGGAACAGCTCTTAAAAAAGCTAAGTGATTAGAGCCCAGGGGAGTTGTGACGAGACCAACCTCGCCACATTGCATTGTAGAAGCCTGGTTCCTCGCCTGTTGCCTTTGGATTATGGCCCCATCTTAAAAGACTTCTTTGCCACTGCAGAAAAGACTTATTCGTGCTTTTCTGACCGGTGTTGGGTAGATTCAATCTACCGAACTAACACACGAATGACTGGACCACCTGGGAGCTGGAGTGTGTCAGCAATTAGCCTCCCAGAAGCTGCGGTTAACCGCAGCTTAATTGACGAATACTGGGTGGCCGCTGAACATGAGGTCGCGGCCATTTTAAACACGCGAACGCACAGCGGTGTTCGACACCCAACTCATGGAACTGAAAATGGATGCATTTTGGCGCGAACACCCCTGAAGCTGCCAAACTCCCTTCTTGTTCGGTAGAAGTGCACGAACGGCCCGGTATTCGGTAGTTGTACCCGACTGCATCATACCCCAGATAGGAATCCTGTGGAGCTCATTCGTATGAGAACTGACTTTGTGAACACTTTGGCTCCATGACGATTAAACTGTATTCGTGTGGTCTGAGCGCCATTCGCTTAATAATGTGCGCTCAGACCTGAGCTATCTGGGGATATGTTAAATATATATATATATGTATTGTAATCTTTCTAACATGGGGGATTTTAACAGTAATTCCTGTATTGGTATCCCCACATGCATAATGGCGATTTGCCTTTGTCCTGGGAGATAATTGAATTACTTCTCAATTATCTCCAGGGCAGAGGGGAGGAATCCAGGATGCATTGTGGGAATATAATGTGACTGTGTGTCCTAGATTGATGCTTGTCTGTCCTTTGTTACAGTTTCCATTTGGTCCCCTAGGGGAGTGTCCACCAGGTGGGAGACCTGCATAAATACTGGGCAGGTAGCCCTCATTAAACTGACTACTGCTTGACCCTCAACACGGAGCCTTGTCTCATCCTTGGGGGGATTTACTGTATGCTGATAGAGACTGATTGCTAGGAGTGTACGCCGCTTGGGTGCTTTTCCTATTCGTCTGCTAGCAGCTATTCGTATGGTTCCAGTTCGGGAGCTTGGAGTGCTATATTGTATGCAGTTCGGGAGATTGGAGCATTCCCTTATTTGCGGTTCGGAGTTTGGTGTTCTACAGTAGCTGTGCCTGCATCTCTGGAAGGGGAAGATCGCCTAAACGGTTTTAACCCCTTGTGTGCTGAAACGGTCCGTTACAGGAGTATACAAAGTATAGCAATCCCCAGTGTGATTATAGCAGTTCCCCTCCAATCACGAGACAAGACTACGTGTTGAGGGTCAAACAGGAA